TCAAAGGCGACCACTGCCCCTTGACATGACCTGGAAGTTTAAGATTTCTTCCAAGAGAATATTAGTGTCCTGAAGGAAACTGAATATTTCTAAATCGATTCGCTGCGACCACTTGGGGTTTTGGGATCGAAGGAAAACCAATGAGAGCTATTTAATTGGACTTTCATGTGGGGTTGCCTGACATCGCTTTTTGATTGTGGGCTAGCCTGATTTTCCTTCAGTCTTATGCTATTTGTTTCATTATGTAACTCATTAATTATAACTTAACTTAACTCATTAAATATAAGAAAGAAAATCTTAGCAATATTTTCTTTAAATCCTAGGATATGCCCCTCCCTCTATATCGATCATAGTCATGTCATAGAATTGTCATTCAAGTAATCCAGTATTTATTTCACACGCATAACGTATAGAACCACAAATACATTAATGTTTATTTATCTATTTATTTCTAAAACAAATACAATACGATCTATGACCACAACCACCTGCCGTATGCCGTAAGATTCTCTTCTCGTTCCACGGTTTGGTAGAAATCAAATCTTACTGTCCAAAGCACACACACACATACGCACAAAGACACACATACGCACACACACACTCTCACAACAATAATAAAAAAAGCTTTTCTCTTATTTGGAAACGTGATCTGCCAGTAACGAAGAGAGTAAAAAGAAAAAAAAAAATCAAACATATTCGTGTATTTTTCCCATTCTTTCGTTTACAGTTATATATACTAAATTTATATGCACACATCTCTTGTTTGGCATATTTTGAAAAAAAAAATTAAGCAAAAGAGGATAGGAAAACGTGAAGATTCTTGTTACAACCACTTTATTAAAGAAAATAATTGTAAACGGAGTTCACGGAGACATTCTGATGGCGGCTATTTACCATAACCTGAAAATAAAGATGACATAAGTGAAGGTAACAATTTGATCAAATTTCATAAAAAAAATACGGGAGCTTTAATACAATTTCTTCGTATTCCAATTAATTCATTAGTTGTCCTGTTCTTTTTGTCTGCATGAACTGAGTGAAAAAAATCAATGAAATAAGTGAAAAATGTCACTGTTTATGTTCATTTCAGTGGGGGAAACTTACCTCCACTTCCTCCGCCGAATCCACCTCCGTGCCCACTGCCTCCAAATCCACCTCCGTATCCGCTGCCTCCACTTGATCCACCTCCGTATCCACTTCCTCCACTTGATCCACCACCGTATCCACTTCCTCCACTTGATCCACCACCGTATCCACTTCCTCCACCGAATCCTCCACTTGATCCACCTCCGTATCCACTTGATCCACCTCCGTATCCACTTCCTCCACTTGACCCACCTCCGTATCCACTTGATCCACCTCCGTATCCACTTGATCCACCTCCGTATCCACTTCCTCCACTTGATCCACCTCCGTATCCACTTCCTCCACTTGATCCACCTCCGTATCCACTTGATCCACCCCCGTATCCACTTCCTCCACTTGACCCACCTCCGTATCCACTTCCTCCACCGAATCCTCCACTTGATCCACCTCCGTATCCACTTGATCCACCCCCGTATCCACTTCCTCCACTTGACCCACCTCCGTATCCACTTCCTCCACCGAATCCTCCACTTGATCCACCTCCGTATCCACTTCCTCCACTTGATCCACCACCGTATCCACTTCCACCGAATCCTCCACTTGATCCACCTCCGTATCCACTTGATCCACCACCGTATCCACTTCCTCCACTTGATCCACCACCGTATCCACTTCCTCCACTTGATCCACCTCCGTACCCGCTGCCTCCACTTGATCCACCTCCGTATCCACTTCCTCCACTTGATCCACCTCCGTATCCACTTCCTCCACCGAATCCTCCACTTGATCCACCTCCGTATCCACTTCCAACACTCGATCCACCTCCGTACCCGCTGCCTCCACTTGATCCACCTCCGTATCCACTTCCTCCACCGAATCCTCCACTTGATCCACCTCCGTATCCACTTGATCCACCTCCGTATCCACTTCCAACACTCGATCCACCTCCGTATCCACTTCCTCCTCCAAAACCTCCAATGCTGCCTCCACCTTCAGAGGGAAACAGTTTTACAAGTTATAGATATACATATGCACATTCACACACACACACATCAAGCACACACATATATATGTGTGACACACATATATATTTATATCTGCGTATGTGTGTACGTGCGTGCGTGTGCGCGCGCGTGTGTGTGTGTGTGTGTGTGTGTGTGTGTGTGTGTGTGTGTGTGTGTGTGTGTGTGTGTGTGTGTGCGTGTGTGCATGTGTGTGCATGTGTGTTTATGTGTGTGCGTGTGTGTGCATCTGTGTGTGTGTCTGTGAAGTATCCTAGTCACACTTGTAATATCTACTATCATTGCTGTGGTTCATTTCACGATGATGAAAATATCCTATTTTTCGATTATAATTTACGCAAACAACGATATAGCAGAAGTGAAGAACATGCTGACTCACCTCCGTATCCTCC